GTGCGTTCGTGAAAAATAGGATTCTTACATTAATGTATAGACGAGTGACTATCAGAGTATTCTATCACATAATCATTCAAAACACAGTTCATAAAGTAGACCTCTAAGCCATAGAGCCTTTTTAATTGCTTCAGTGATAGCAATATATTCAGACTCGGTAGTGGATAGTGCAACAGTGTGTTGTAATTGTGATTTCCAACTAATATATGAATTAGATAAGGTATACATGTAAGAGGAAGTCGATTTTCTACCATCCCTATCTCCTGCATAATTAGCATCAACAAAACTTTTTAATTTCACACCTTACTTATTAGCACTAAATTTTAGACTTACGTCACCCGTACCCTTCAAGTATCTTAATAGCCACTTTAATGCTTCTCAATGTTCAGGACCCGGATTAGCCATGTACCTACTGAGGGTACTAACAGCAAAACCTAGTGCAAACCATCAAGTACATTATAAAACCAATCACATTAGAATATGAAACTCTATTAATGTATTCTACTTCACGTTCATTGTAAGGAGATTGTTCTTTAGATAAAAAATAATAATTAGCAAGAGGTAACGTGAAAAGTTTACAATCACTCATATTAAATTTCTTCAACACATTAGATATGTATGAAGACTGATGCAGAAATAAAACAAAATTTGACCTATCTCTTTCTATTTCCATGCCTAGAATTCTCTTAACCTTACCTAGGTCTTTCATATCAAATTCACCACTTAGTTTTGCATTTATATTATTCCACTTAGAAGAAGAACCAATCAAAAGCATATCATCCACATAGAGCAACAAAAACAAATAGTTATTATCAGTCTCGTTGTGTTAAAAATCCTAAACAGTGATCAAATTTACTTCTTTAGAACCCTATAGTAAGTACAAAGGAATCAAACCTCTTGTACCAATGTCTAAGTGATTATTTTAAGCCATACAGGGACCTTTTCAAAAAACACACATAACTAGGTTTTGACTTGTCCTTAAAACCTTTTAGTTGATTCATAAAAACTTCTTCATCAAGCTCACCATATAAAAAAGCAGTTTTTACATCAAGTTGTTCAAGTTCTCAATCAAAATGCGCAACTAATGCAAGCATGATCTTAATAGTAGTGTACTTAACAACTGGTAAGAAAATCTCATTATAATCAATGCTCTCCTTTTGTGTGTAACTCTTAGCCACTAACCTGACCTTAAACCTTAAGGGTTCCAAACTACTAGTACCTTCCTTAACCTTAAAAACCCATTTGCAATCGACGATCGATTTATTCTTAGGCTTAGGTACTAGCTCCCAAGTTTGATTCTTTTCTAAAGAACTCGTCTATTCTTTCATCGCTTTAAGTCACTCCTTAGATTGATCACTACTCATTGCCTCTTCAAAGGTTTTTGGCTCTCTATCGACTAGTTTTTCGTAACTAGCATGGGCGAAAGCTAACTAAGACTCAAAACCTAACCTTCTAGGTTCTCTCGTTTGTCTCCTCTCTCTATCTCTAACTAGGTTGTAATTAGCTAAGAGATTTTCTTCCTCATGGTGCTTTTATATCACTACTTTGTTACCGTTCTCCACCTCAAGTTCCTGAACCTGAATCTCCACCTCATTAGAAGTAGTAGGGATAGGTGTGTACTAAATTTTCCTAACTCCACCTTAAATCGATCTCTCTCTTAACTTGGTTCAGTTTCAACCACAGGTTCGATTTCCCCTTTAATACACGGCATCTCATTCTTGTTAAATGTGACATCCCTACTTACGATGATCTTAACCCCATTTTGACTTCTATCCCATAACCTATAGCCCTTAACACTCTTAGGATATCTTTAAAACTTTCCCTCACTCTGATGAGAAAAAGCAGTACAACCAAAAGTTCTAAATATACAGTAATCACTCAGTTTACCCGACCATCTCTCACGTGGAGTGTCACCATCTAATGCAGCAGATGAAGTCAAATTAATCAAATAACAAGCAGTCATAATAGTTTCACCCCAAAACGACTTAGGGACACCGGAACTTAACATCATGCAATGCACTTTATCAAGTATGGTCCTATTCATCCTTTCCACGTCCTCGTTTTGCTGGGAAGTGTAAAGAACTGTCTTATGTTTAGTTATGTCATTTTCTTTACACATACTATCAAATTCCGTGTTGTAAAATTCTAGACCATTGTATGTCCTTAAAAATTTGATCTTCTTGTCAGTTTTCCACTTGTCTCTTCCAGTTATTAAAATTATGAAAAGTCTTAGATTTATATTTCAATAGATAGACCCACACTTTTTTAGTATAGTCATCGATAATAGACAGGAAATACCTATTCCCACCCAATGTGGGATTACAAGCAGGACCCCACAGATCAAAATACACATATTCAAGCATGTCTTTAGCTTTATTAACACTTGTGGAAAATGAAGTTTTATGATGCTTACCAAGCATACAGTGATCACAAAATGACAAATCTGACACATAATCATTACCAAATGCGCATTTTTCATTAAGTAGCTTAAGTCCATTAATGCCTATGTGTGTAAGTCTATTATGTCATGTGTGTGTGTGATCATTTTGGGCAGAAGAGATGGAGGAATTGAAACCTCTAATTACTTCCCCAATAGTGATATAGATGTATTTTTCTTAGTTCCCTTAATAGAAACTAATGCACCCTTAATCATCTTTAGCGTACTATTTCCAATTTTACCAGTGAAGTCATCTTTTTCAAGTCTCCTTATTGAAATCAAATTCTTAGACAATTCAGGAATATATCTAACATCATTTAACGTGTACACAAAACCCACGTCAAATTTTATATTTATGTCACCAATTCCAACAATAGTATAGGCAAAGTTATCACACAGCACAACATGCCCAGCATTAGATTCATGCAAGTTATCAAACCAATTCTTTTCAGACGTCACATAAAAAGATGCACCAGAATCAAGTATCCACTAATGCATGCGGGAATTAAGAGTTAGATTCAATTCAGCAGTGTATGCAACATGACTTGTAATCATATAGACTTCACCATTATATATCTCAAACGTAGATGATAACACATTTACCTCATCTCTCTCCTTCATCTTTAACTTACCCTTCTCCTTATGGCAATCCTTTATAAAATGCCCTATGTTTCTATAGTCATAGCATTTTCTAACCTTAGTCCTAGATTTTTATCTAGACCTACCATTGCCCTTCTTTTTCCATTCATTACCACTCGACTCGCCCCTACTTTGGTGTCCATCATGACTCTTTTGCCTAAATTGAGTTCTATCCCGCATCATATGTAACTCACCGCTCCTCTTATCGTGTTTTTCAGCCCTATTTTCCATTTATTTACTCCTAAGAGAATCTATGACAATTTTAGGTGTCAATGTATCCCTATCATACTTAATGGCATTTTTAACTTCCTTATAAGAATCAGGAATCGCATTGAGCAAAATTATAACCTTATAAGTTTCGGATACAGTCTCATCACAATTAACTACATCTTGCACCAATTTGTTCAGCAAGTCTAAATTGTCATCGAGATCCTTTGAAGAATCCATTTTAAAACTAAAAAATTGTTCAAGCAGGTAAAGTTTATTTGGTGTAGATTTAAACAAATACAAGTCTTCCAACTTTTTCCAACGTTTTTTGGTGGTTTTCAGTTTACCCACCTTTCTTAAAACGGCGTCAGATAAGTGTAAAATGATTGAGGTATAAGCAAGTTCATCGGCTTCTTCTCTTTATTCTTTTGAAAAATCAGTTGAAAAATTGCCTTCGATGGCTTTTGAAACCTTTTGTTGGACCAAAATACCTTTAATTTTTTGTTGCCAAATAGAAAAATCACCTTTTTAGTTAAAAGTCCCCAAATTAAAGTTGTGAGTTGTCATATTTACACAACAGTCAAAGAATGCACAGAACACAATCAAACCATACAAAATAGTCCTAGGGTCATAGACAATATACACCGTTCTAGATTTTTAGGGTTTCGTAAGACTCGCGGTCTTAGATCAAGGGAACGTTCGAACGGATAATGTTACGGTAATTCTAACATAATTAATAAGCAGCGAAAATAATAATGCAACAAAAGTTACGTCTAACAAATAGCCAGTTTCACAGCAAGTATATCACTAAGAACTAAATAATGATTTAACCAAAAGACATATACTCAATCAAACAATTAAGAGCAAGTAACCCTAAATTTTTGGCACAAGCAATGGTTGTCATGTAATGACACCCCCAATCCTAATGATCACCCTACACGATGATCTGTTAGTGCAAAAATTTAAAGGTTTTAGCCAATTTACCAGAGCAGACCTATCTGAGTCTGTAACGTGGAGAGATGCAAATATACTGCTTTAGGGCCATCACTATTCGCCTTAAAGATTTAGCAAATATAACAGTTTCGATCAGTAACAAATGCAAATTGAGGTCACGGACACTAAACCAAACACATCAAAACGTTTAGGAGAATTATATAAACGAAATGGCAGAAAAAATCATGTTGTAGGACAGCCCAGGCGCCGTCGGACCGCCACGTGCCGCCACCACTGGGGGGTGCCTCGACTTGCTGGTCGTGGGTCTGGCCTCCGTTCGTCCAACGAAGGTCCGATTTGGAAGTAACTGAAGATTTCAGATCCAGTCAAATTGAAGGAGATGTTGATTTTGAACCGATTTTCGCAAGGTAATGGTAACCCACACTCTAATACCAAATGTAGAAGATGTATTGAACACCAAAGATAAACCCATGCTCAATTTTTACCTACTTCCAACAATTACAAGCTGAATTTTCACATGGTATTGTTTGGAGTAATTCAATCTTCAAAGGTGAGATTTAAAGTTCTCGATCTCTTTATACACCAAACTCATGACAGATACCTTCAATATAGACATTAAAGTTGCACAAGACTTTCACACTACTCAAAGCTAAAATGCAAAATCATTAAATTGTTTAACGTCTGTCTTCAGTTTTATTGAAAGTTTCTGTCACATTTCTTTTCGGCAAGGAATTGATGCTCAAAAAGCAGTTTGCAAAATAGAGAATAAAAGAGATGCTTTAGCTCTCGGATCTGGATATCTCGATTCTTGAACTCGAGTATCGGTTCTCTGCCACAAGGTATGAAATTCTAATTCAATATAAGGAATACAGATAATCATATTAATGCAGAATAAGTACCAAAATATTTTTAATATGTGTCTATTTTCATTCAGAAATTTATTACATGAGCCACAACATATATCTCTAATTTTGACAACAATACAGAATCTTACACCTTATGCTTCACTTTTCTCCTCAGATTTTGGAGCAGCAGCCTCGACTTCCGGTTTCTTGGACGCAGCAACCGTCTCTGCTACTTCTTTTTTCTCCTCCTTGGCCACCTCTACCGCCTCTGCTGGTTTCTCTGCCTCGACCGGAACATGTTCTTCAAGAACCGGTTTTGTCTCAGTTGCCGGGGTTTCTTCCTCGATTTTCGCAGCCTCTGGAGCTGGTTCAGAAAGATCTACTAAAGGTTCTTCCTTAGTCTCGTCATCTTTCTTCTCTTCCTTAGTCTCGTCATCTTTCTTCTCCTGCAATCATTGATCATAAGAAAACAACATAAACCTTAGCTTTCTAAGAATTATAACTCAACCGAAAAATAAGAACCTAGATTTCGACTCATTGGGATAGGGATAAGCAAAAGAGACGAATAGTAAATTAATACACGATCAAATAGTGTGATTACTTGAGGAACAGTCTCAGATTCGGTCTTCTCAGGGGCGGCTGGGGTGGCCGGTGCTTCAACAGGGGCCGGTGCCTCGTCAACATCCTGGTCTTTGAGTTTGCCCGCGCAGCCTCCCATGATGTTATCTAGATTGGTGGGAAGATTGAGCGAGCAGAGAACTTGATAACGAAGTAGAGAAACTTGGAAACGGAAATCGGAACGAACTTGGTTACGAGGCTGAAATGAAAATCAGCCAAAGCAAGCGACTATATAGAGGTGGATAGCAACCTATTCGCTTGTTTTAAGGGCTTTATTACAACATGCATACATGTTTGTGGACAACCTGTGTATTGACATTATCAGAGGCACGCCATGTTTTTCTCTGGTAATAATGTAGGGTTTTTTTTTTTTTCTTTCTTTCTTTCTTTATTAAGAAAGTGGGCGGCCTGTTTTCAAAAGTTAGTTATAGCAGTTAAAAGAATATTCTTGGTGCCAGAGTTTTTATCACAATATTATGCTCTGTTTAAGATGGATTAAAATTTATATTTTAATTTAAGTCAACAATTAATTTTAACTACATATTCATTAGATCCACAACTTTTCGACCACGCATTTTATTGATTTTTATCGAAAATCTACAAAAAATATTATTTTAATTCCCATCAAATATGACATAATATCTAATCACTTTAGTGAATAAAAAACGTGACACAATCCGATCCCTTTATGCTAGCACTCGAGTGACGTGGCACGCTAATTGCTGATTGGTTGGAATTCTCTATTTATTGAACAAGATTTATTTTTTGTGTTTTACTTCAATGTTATATTGATTGTCTTTTCACTTAATTTTAATGTAGTTCATAGTCAGCAATTGCAGTATAATTTTAGTACATGTTTGGTACGGATTTTGATAATTGATTTTTTTACCATTAGTAATAAAGTGGATTTTATCCGTGAGAGAAGAATTAAAAAATGACGGTTGAAATAGTAAAATAACGGTTAAAATTGATTTTAATTGACTTAAAATTTGTACCAAACAAACACTTAATAATATTCATAGTAAGCAACTACAATATTCATCCTATGATGACAAATTTTTATTTGAAGTATTAAAGTATTAATTTCTTATAATTTTGTTATCTCAAATAACAAGATGCTATATTTGATGATTATCATAGTTGCGGACTATGAATATCATCTTCTTCTTAAATTATGTGCATATTGGGGTGTTGCTCGCGTTTAAAAAAAAAAAAAAATATTCGTGCAATTTTTGCCTTCATCAACCCAAAATCGAGATTTCTTGATTCGTGCTGAGATAGTATTAAGAAAATATAAAATTAAGATAAATAGAACTAATTGCGCAATAATAGAAAAAAATACGATTGTGAAAAAAAGTAGAAGCAACATGTCGGATGTAGCGTAATTTAGAAAAAGATAAAACACAATTTGCACGGTGCACTTTCCATCGATTCCAAATGGGACAACTTCGAAACATTCTCTCTCCACTTCTATTGAAAATTTTTGGCTTGTTTCAGTTTCAGTATAATTAACTTATAATTTAAAGTCAAAATCAAATATTTCCACAAATATTGTCCACTTATTATCTTTACATTTTTTGGAACTCATTACTTCTTTTCATTATAATTTTTCCCAAGCGAACGCATAAAAATAATTTAAACTACAGTCTAACTTCAATCAATATTCTACAAGATAACACAAAGCTACAAGAAAGTGGCTATCACTCCTAGGCATTTTCCCGAAGAGCAATATGGATAGCCACTTTCTAGGCCCTTTCCCAAAAGATTATGACACAGTCTTTTGATCCAATTTAACGTTAGGCACCTAGGTCGGATCATGTCGTGGAGGGTTTGAGGAAAAATTGGTAGTAGTTAATGCACAAAAATACAATGCGGCAGAACAACTGAGCTTAGAGTTGTAAACAACGTTAATTCCCGTTACCTTAAGAAGAACGGACACTCGCAGCTATCATTATCTACGTTGCTTCACGTAACCAGCAAGATAAAGAATGTCACATTTGCCATTAGTTACGACGTTCTTAAAATTTTCTAAATTTGAACGTGCCACTTCAAAAAGTAAATGTACCTTTCCAAAATAAGAATGCATTCAGAACTCAACGCAAGATAGAATAGGCTAGCATGACTTGAATTTCTATCTCTGCAGTAAAAAATTTCTATATCCTTTGGAGGAATATCTTGTCTAGATGTAGCAATTACCTAATTATCCTTCTTCGGGCTTTGCAGTGAGAAAACAGATTCAACGCTCGTCTGCTTCTCGTCGTCACCAGATTCCCGAGATGGAGTGTCGTTCTTTGTGTTGTCAATTGATTCAGCCCCAGGAATATCGGGAATCCCATTGCCAGAACCGTTGCCAATTAAGTTCTTGTATATACTGAGAGCTTGAGCCATCATATTTGCAGGATTGGAAGCACTTGCAGGAAGCAACATAGTTGTGCCCTACATGAATGAAAAGGATAGAACATATACAGAAACAAGGAAATTCAGTAGAAATCCGAGCCTCACTATTAAAATATAAAATCAAAATGTTCAGGGGTTTACCTTCTTTGCAATCATACTGAAAGCCTGAAGATATTGCTCAGCAATTCTTAAACTAGCTGCCTGCGATTCAAACGATACAGTATTTGCAATTTCCTCATCAGCCGAACAATTATATTTGTGAAATATATAAACAATATTTTTAAATGATTTCATAATTCATGTACACCACACAGAACAAAAAGAACCTCCTTCAACATAGGAAGATGTTAAGGAAGAACAAACGACAGAAAATTTGAATTTTGAAGAACCTCACCTCCACACCCCCGTTTTCTTTAAGGGTTTGTGACACCAAGGTAATTCCTTTTGCAGTAGCTTGAGCTTTAGCAAGAATTGCTTCTGCTTCTCCTGTTTAAAGACGGTTAAAATGAATGGCAGATCTCATAATAAGAATAAGCAGTAAAATATCTGTAGATTGAGCTTTTTTCCTTATTGAACTTTTAAAGTTGAATACTGAGCAAATTTGATGTATACTTAATCCAGCCATTCAAGACAGTCTTCTGCTCGTGGAGGAGGAAAACAGAGGCTTAATTTGATTAATGCAAACACGTAACTAACCTTGAGCACGATTAACTTGGTCCAATTTTGCAGCTTCTGACTGAAGGATCACCGAACTCTTCCTTCCATCTGCAATATTGATGTTTGCCTGCCTTTCTCCTATTATATGAAACAGCACATCAATCCAATGAACAGATGATAAAGATAATTATGTAATATACACACAGAGGGGTTTGAACGAAAAGTTCTAAAACTTAATGACTTAACAACAATAAATCATTCAAACAATTTTAGTTGTTTATAAGGGAAAGTTTGGGATAATCATCTTGGTAGATACATTCACTTGCTAGGGATCAAGAATTGGCATCTACTTTCCAGTATACGAGTCTATATTATTATCTTATATTTTTACTAGCCTCATTTAAACAGTAATTATTGCACTAAGGTAAAAACGGTTTCCATTTTTCACACTGTCCATAATAGCTATCAAGCAATACATTAATTTGAAAAGGATGGAGGATGGATTTGTGTGTCGTTTGATTGTATCTTAGGCCATTTTAAATGTAAACAGATGTAACAGCAGAGAATGTTTCCTCAGAACCTTGCAATCGATCGCTTATGGGGTTACTATTCACATGCTAATCCTAATTGTTAGAAAGGTGCACTTTCCATCGATTCCAAATGGGACAACTTCGAAACAATCTCTTTCCACTTCTATAGAAAAATTTTGGTTTGTTTCAGTTTCAGTATAATTAACTTATAATTTAAAGTCAAAATCAAATATTTTCACAAATATTGTCCGCTTATTTTCTATACATTTTGTGGAACTCATAACTTCTTTTCATTATAATCTCATTATAATTTTTTTCCAAACAAACACTTAAAAATAATTTAAACTACAATCTAACTTCAATCAATATTCTACAAGATAACACAAAGCTACAAGAAAGTGGCTATCACTCCTAGGCATTTTCCCGAAGAGCAATATGGATAGCCACTTTCTAGGCCCTTTCCCAAAAGATTATGACACAGTCTTTTGATCCAATTTAACGTTAGGCACCTAGGTCGGATCATGTCGTGGAGGGTTTGAGGAAAAATTGGTAGTAGTTAATGCACAAAAATACAATGCGGCAGAACAACTGAGCTTAGAGTTGTAAACAACGTTAATTCCCGTTACCTTAAGAAGAACGGACACTCGCAGCTATCATTATCTACGTTGCTTCACGTAACCAGCAAGATAAAGAATGTCACATTTGCCATTAGTTACGACGTTCTTAAAATTTTCTAAATTTGAACGTGCCACTTCAAAAAGTAAATGTACCTTTCCAAAATAAGAATGCATTCAGAACTCAACGCAAGATAGAATAGGCTAGCATGACTTGAATTTCTATCTCTGCAGTAAAAAAATTCTATATCCTTTGGAGGAATATCTTGTCTAGATGTAGCAATTACCTAATTATCCTTCTTCGGGCTTTGCAGTGAGAAAACAGATTCAACGCCCGTCTGCTTCTCGTCGTCACCAGATTCCCGAGATGGAGTGTCGTTCTTTGTGTTGTCAATTGATTCAGCCCCAGGAATATCGGGAATCCCATTGCCAGAACCGTTGCCAATTAAGTTCTTGTATATACTGAGAGCTTGAGCCATCATATTTGCAGGATTGGAAGCACTTGCAGGAAGCAACATAGTTGTGCCCTACATGAATGAAAAGGATAGAACATATACAGAAACAAGGAAATTCAGTAGAAATCCGAGCCTCACTATTAAAATATAAAATCAAAATGTTCAGGGGTTTACCTTCTTTGCAATCATACTGAAAGCCTGAAGATATTGCTCAGCAATTCTTAAACTAGCTGCCTGCGATTCAAACGATACAGTATTTGCAATTTCCTCATCAGCCGAACAATTATATTTGTGAAATATATAAACAATATTTTTAAATGATTTCATAATTCATGTACACCACAGAACAAAAAGAACCTCCTTCAACATAGGAAGATGTTAAGGAAGAACAAACAACAGAAAATTTGAATTTTGAAGAACCTCACCTCCACACCCCCGTTTTCTTTAAGGGTTTGTGACACCAAGGTAATTCCTTTTGCAGTAGCTTGAGCTTTAGCAAGAATTGCTTCTGCTTCTCCTGTTTAAAGACGGTTAAAATGAATGGCAGATCTCATAATAAGAATAAGCAGTAAAATATCTGTAGATTGAGCTTTTTTCCTTATTGAACTTTGAAAGTTGAATACTGAGCAAATTTGATGTATACTTAATCCAGCCATTCAAGACAGTCTTCTGCTCGTGGAGGAGGAAAACAGAGGCTTAATTTGATTAATGCAAACACGTAACTAACCTTGAGCACGATTAACTTGGTCCAATTTTGCAGCTTCTGACTGAAGGATCACCGAACTCTTCCTTCCATCTGCAATATTGATGTTTGCCTGCCTTTCTCCTATTATATGAAACAGCACATCAATCCAATGAACAGATGATAAAGATAATTATGTAATATACACACAGAGGGGTTTGAACGAAAAGTTCTAAAACTTAATGACTTAACAACAATAAATCATTCAAACAATTTTAGTTGTTTATAAGGGAAAGTTTGGGATAATCATCTTGGTAGATACATTCACTTGCTAGGGATCAAGAATTGGCATCTACTTTCCAGTATACGAGTCTATATTATTATCTTATATTTTTACACGACGCCTCACTCGCTTCTTCCCCATCTACTAACGCTCATACACAGAGCAAAAAGAAACCAGAAAAGTGCTGCTAAAGCAGCATAATAGGCGTTGGACAGTGCATCCTTTTCCATTTTTAGCATTCCCTTCAACACGCACAATTCCTTTACGCACTTACGATATTGATATAATCCTTCACTTGTAAAAGTTCTATATGACGACTAATGAACAGATGATAAAGATAATTATGTAATATACACACAGAGGGGTTTGAACGAAAAGTTCTAAAACTTAATGACTTAACAACGATAAATCATTCAAACAATTTTAGTTGTTTATAAGGGAAAGTTTGGGATAATCATCTTGGTAGATACATTCACTTGCTAGGGATCAAGAATTGGCATCTACTTTCCAGTATACGAGTCTATATTATTATCTTATATTTTTACTAGCCTCATTTAAACAGTAATTATTGCACTAAGGTAAAAACGGTTTCCATTTTTCACACTGTCCATAATAGCTATCAAGCAATACATTAATTTGAAAAGGATGGAGGATGGATTTGTGTGTCGTTTGATTGTATCTTAGGCCATTTTAAATGTAAACAGATGTAACAGCAGAGAATGTTTCCTCAGAACCTTGCAATCGATCGCTTATGGGGTTACTATTCACATGCTAATCCTAATTGTTAGAAAATAAAATCATCACAACTATGTTAGATTTTAAAGGAAAGAATTTAGTAAATTATTAAACAACATATTATACTTGAACTCAATCCAACTGAATTTCTGGATGACATCTAGGCACGGAGCCCGCATTCGATTTCGTTAATTTGGCCACTCACTAATTTGTACGAGACGGCAATCAATGTGAACCTCTTGTCCTGGTAGCTGATTCGAAAAGGTTTTTTTTAACAATATGAAGAGTTGTGAAAGGATGCCATCAGCCTTTCATCTCAGGGGCATAGTCACATTTTATCATTAATTCTATGAATTATATCAGATACTCTACAAAATGATTTGCCAACATGCAGCATAACAAAGATTGCCACTCTCCAATGTCAAAAATTTAACTTCCTCAGACCACAACAAATGACTACATTCAAACTAACCAATAAGGAGAGCAGGAAGCAACATCCATTACCTTCAGATTCCAGGACTTGAGCTCTCTTTTTGCGTTCTGCTTCAGCTTGCATTTCCATTGCTGCCCTCACTCCTCTTGGAGGAGATATATCCCCTACAGTTTTAGTAGAAAGAAGTGAAGAAATATAATTTATACTCTGTCCCTTTTTCGTTCTTACTAAGTATCAAATGAATTAGAATGTATAAAAGGGATATAACGAAATTTTTTGATTGGCTCCTCCCAAAATTGGGAAATATACAGGGCACAACTTAGTTACAACAGACATTCACAAGGATTTCTTAAACCAAGCTAAGATATATCTCCAGGCAAAGACATCACCCACTTATTTCATAACGAAGACATTTCAAGCCCCAGTCTTTTGCAGCTTCGTTGATGGAAATCTGCAACAAAAACAATTTTGAGCAGTCGATCCAACACTAATAGAAGGAGAAAGATTAACTGGAAAATAAGTCATATGCAAACAACTTTCAACACAAAGTGAACTTCAAAAAATGGAAACAAAGAAAACCTTGATAAACATACCATGCAGTTCCATAATTTGGGAAATGAGATATGAATGCTCATATGCTAAGCAAAAAGAAGTCAGCACGAAAATGTCAATGTCATAATCAACTCAAAGGAATAGTCTCCTTTGGTGTTAGTGTAATAAAGTGTTAATCAGATGTTACATGTACATTCAAAGCAAAAGTATAAAAATAATTATGATTAATATCTTGCAATCGAACATAATCATTCATATTCTTATGTTCACCAAAAAATAAATAAATAATATAAAATTCTGTATAAGGCTCTTTATCAAGTCAGAGTTTAAGGCAATTGATACAATTTGCTCAAGTGAATATAAGTTTGCATTTTCATTTGCATTTCAATATGTTCCGTAGAATTTGCACTTGAATGTGAGTATGACCATGAGTGGTCTTCTGGACAGCCCTATTGACATAACATTTTTTAACCTATTTTTAATAGTTAATACAACTACAACTGTCTTATTAGCACCAATAACCACGCCTAACTCTAATAAATAATTAAGCTAACTTTGATCACAAGTTATTGTTGTTATATTGAGGTTTTCTTTGAATATCATTTGATCTTTAAACACATTTTCAAATATACAAAAGTATTAGCTGCACTCAACACAATATCTAAAGTATCATAACAGTAACTTTCTATTCTAATGTACCATGGAAAATCATTCTTGTCAGAATATTACCTTCTATGCCAAATGTGAGTAAATATTTTACACAGAGTTACGCGCATTACCCTATCATTCCACGTTATAAGTTTAATCATTAAGATCTCAAATAATCAACATTTTACATAGAGCTTCAGTATTTCTTTTCATTATGAACGACGCCTCACTCGCTTCTTCCCCATCTACTAACGCTCATACACAGAGCAAAAAGAAACCAGAAAAGTGCTGCTAAAGCAGCATCTAAAGCAGCATAATAGGCGTTGGACAGTGCATCCTTTTCCATTTTTAGCATTCCCTTCAACAAGCACAATTCCTTTACGCACTTACGATATTGATATAATCCTTCACTTGTAAAAGTTCTATATGACGACGTGCTCAATTTATCTTTTACTTCACTTAATAGCAAACTTCTGTTAAGAGAAAAACATTGGTTACCTAAGAGCCTCACCGAGTGTTGATGTGTTCAAGTAAAACACATGAGTTACCAAATTAAAGCTGTGTTCATATCATATTAAATGCCTTAATTGGACAGCCAACAATGAAGAATTCAATTATAAATAACTGAAATCTCACCACTATCTTCTCGTTGAGAGTGTCCCTTTCCTCAAAAGTCTTGTCAAGAGTGATTTTTCCAAGTTCACTTCGCATAGTTGTCTGAGCAAGCTGAATAACAGCATACAACGGATCCTCAACTCCATATGAAGCCAACTTTGGGTCCATAATCTGCAGCAGAAGCCAGTCATGTTAGAAGTTCAAATCGATAGCTATACTTCAAAACAACAACAACAAATCAAATCAACTCAAAATTGCACACCTTCACATAGAGGACACCATCAATCTGAATGCTGACATTGTCCTTGGTAATAGCAGATTGATCAGGAATAGGAATAGCTTCTTCTTTCAGTGAATGCACGTAAGCAATTCTATCGACCAATGGAACTAAAAGATGGATTCCAGGTGTTAACGTCTTCACATACTTCCCAAATCTCTCGATTATAAATGCCTTCTTCTCAGGCACTATTCGGATCCCCCAATTCAGAGGTGGTGTAATCTCATAACTACACCAAAAATGATACTTTAAATCATTCCAGACTGACTATAAATCACCACGAAAGTAAAACATTGAAGCACATAAAATCAGTACAAATTACAACAACAATTTTAATTGAAAACCCATAGCTATGAGAAAAAATTACAAAAAGCGCGTAGCAGAAGAATGTGCAACTGATTCAAACTACTTTAAAGTTACCGGGTGCTAGGATCGTGAGGATAGCGGATGTGGCGACCGGAGGTGGAGAACGGGGCAGAAAGCTGACGTTGCAAGCAGGCGGAGCTAATCGGCGACTGAGAAAGAAGCCTTCTCACGATACTAAGCTTGTTCAGAGAATTCGATTTCACGATATTCATTTTCTTTGTTGTGAATTTTCACCAAATTTGGGGATAATATTTTTGCCAGTGGCGTTAATTGAAGTAGAATGAAAAAATTGTGGTTTTGGGAGGGGAGGAGAGGGTTTTAGAAATGTAATGGTAGTTAGGGGCATCATAATGTGTTTTTAAGGCACAAAAGACGTGAGCGTCAAGAATTCTAATTAGGGCCGGGTCCCAACCCAATCCAATCCGTTCAACCCGATCAATCCGATCGGTTTGGATTGGTTTTTTAAGTTCAATTGTGCTGATTTGGATTGAAAAAATATTTTTGAAGTTTAGTTGGGTTGGATTTCGGGTTATGATTTAAAACCCAAAATTTTCACCAAATTTGGGGATAATATTTTTGCCAGTGGCGTTAATTGAAGTAGAATGAAAAAATTGTGGTTTTGGGAGGGGAGAAGAGGGTTTTAGAAATGTAATGGTAGTTAGGGGCATCATAATGTGTTTTTAAGGCTCAAAAAACGTGAGCGTCAAGAATTCTAATTAGGGCCGGGCAAAACCCAACCCAATCCAATCCGTTCAACCCGATCAACCCAAATCAATCCGATCGGTTTGGATTGGTTTTTTAAGTTCAATTGTGCTGATTTGGATTGAAAAAATATTTTTGAGGTTTAGTTGGGTTGGATTTCGGGTTATGATTTAAAACCCAAGCCAACCCGATGAATTAAGAAAAATAATATCTGAGATAAAAATTAAAAAAAAAAAAAAACCTAAATAAAAACAATTGTAAAGATATGAAAAGGACTTATTAATTTATAAACGTCTATTTTTTTTATATATATATTGATTCTTATAAACATAATTTGCAAATGAAATGTTATTTCATAATAAAGTAAAAATTAAGAAGATGATGATGAATGAATAAATTCCAAAAAATTATAAATAATAATAATAATAATAATAAATACTTCAAAAATTTTAAACTTATTTATACATCATTTTTCAAAAAGAATTTCTTACATAGGTATTTAAAAAAAAAAAAAAGAAGAAGAAGAAGAGATTTTCAAGTAATTTCAAACTTCAAAAATTTATCTAAATTTAACAAAAATATAATTGAATCGAACTTTAATTGGACCGAAGCCCAAACCGACCAACCCAACCCAAACTTGATCGGGTTGGGTTGGGTTCACTTTAAATAAAACTGACCATATTGGTTTGGATTTGGGTTGGGGAAAAATCGACCCAACCCAATCCAACCCATGCACACCCCTAATTCTAATTGTGAAATGTGATAAAATTTGATTTAAAAAAATAAAAAGTAAAAAATAAAAAACTCCACTTTTACATACACATAATCAATCTATAAAATTTTTTGTAACTCCTTATGTACAACAAGTGACATTATTCAAAGAAAAAACTCTTCAATTTTCATCTTGACAGTCTGTAAAAAAATTATGTAAAGAATAATGTTATTCATTGTGAGAACTATCGATAGACGTCCCATGTGACAATTTTTTATTTTATGCATGAGAAAATAAAAATCTATCATATCGAATAACACTATTCTTATGTAATTGATGATATACAATAAGCATTTTCTTGTGAATTCACACCAACCAAGAGTTGTGTTATATCTACATCACCACTTATAAATTTGTTTACCAATAATTGATGTAACAAGATTTGATTTGATTAAATCTCACCAGTCAAATAAAAAGAAAAAGAATACTCTCTTTTTCAAACATCATCCATATGTAAAAGATTTTTATAAACGTACAAGTATTTTCATCCCATCTCGTCCCAATCAATCCTTTTAAAAAAAAAAAATATGATGATTTGAACTCTTAAATAGGACTGACCTGGACTGGACATTGCAGTATAAAATAGAAGTCCCAAATAAAATTCAAAAATGTATTTATCTCGTCTGCTATATTTAATATCTTTAGTTTGATCCATGTATCTTATATCTACCCTTGATGATATTATCATTGTAATACATTAAATTAATAAAAAAAGAAAAGAAAAGAAAAGTCAAACATGTCAAAAAGAAAAAATTAAAAGAGAGAGAAAATGATAGGCGGTGGATTGATGGATTGATTTATATCAATCCACCTATGTCCAAAGCAAATCCATTTATATTTACACACACAAAACACATACTACAAAGAAAATGAAGCAAAGAGAGAGGGAAAAAAAAAAAATTTAACAAAAAAGGTAATTGGCACAAAACGTCCCTATCTTTCAAGATTTTTGTGAAAAATATTCATACTTTTCATTTTTTGGTAATTTCACCCTCATCTTTGCCTTTTATTGTACAAAACGTCCTTCCGTCCACCCTCCGTTAAATCAAAGAAAATGAGTTATTTACTTTCAAAAGACAAGGGTAAGATTGTTTAAACACATTTGTTCTTCATTGAGGCTTCATCCCCGCCTTCTTCAAATGTTATGCGTAACTAAAAAGTAATATGAAAATAAATAAAATAATTTGTAAAGAAATATTTCATTCAATACATAAGGAAAAATGATAGAATGGATTATATTTATGGCTGAACTTCATCATGGCTACGGTAATGCTTGATTGCTAAAAAAAATTTGGCTACGTATATGAAAAGAATGAATATGTGGTCGATAAAATTGAAATGTTCATCCCCATTTTGTGTTTACGAAGGGTGTAAATAAAGGGTAAAGTGAGAAGATCGATTAAAATGTGATTATGTGAATGAACAATACATAGAAATGGAGAAGATGAGGAAGATAAATGGGTCTTCTTCTCAATTTAATGTGAAATTGAACTTGTGATAACAATCCTTATCTTTATATTATCTTTGTGTAAAACATCCCTACGTTTATACTGTCTTTGCACAAAATACCCCTACCTTTTCATTCTATTTGCGCAAAACATACCTACCTTTGTTAAAAATTGTGAAAATTGTCTCTACATATTTTGAGCTAAATACAACCCTGCTTATATGCCCTGCAATGGAATTTCCCTAAGACCCATTTCGAACACAGCAAAAGCAATAATCAACAACTAAGCTCAATTACCAAACCCAACAAAATCAATACTCAACAACCAACATTAATAACCACACATATCAAAGTCAATACTCAACAATCAACATTAATAACCAAACCTACTGTGAGGAAAAGAGAAGGCCACATAATCAGAAAGTGCTTTTTGGACATCAACAACGAAACCCATTGATGCGTAATGAAGGGTGGGAGTGAAGCCAGTGAAGAGAAATGTGTTTGGATAATCTTAACCCTGCCTTTTGATTATAAAAATCTCATTTTCTTTGATTTAACGGAACATTATAACGGAGGGTGGACGGAAGGACATTTTATGCAATAAAAGACAAATGTGAGGGTGAAATTGTTAAAAAATGAAAGATAGGGACGTTTTCCAAAAAAATCTTGAAAGGTAGGGACATTTTGTGCCAATTACAAAAAAAAAAAAAAAAAAAAAAAAAAAAAAAAGGAGGAAAAAGAAAAAAAAAAAAAAAAAAAAAAAAAAAAAAAAAAAAAAAAGGAGGAAGAAGGAAGGAAAAAAAAAGAAGATTTTCGCCAACATGTTAGAAATAAGTTCTTCTATTATTAAACTTGATTTTTTCAAAGTTAAAGGTAAATAAAAAGTTATTTCTTGAAAAGTTATGTTTAATTTTATAATTGTTAGATTGTTAGATTAAATTCAATTTTATTGAGGGAGTTAAATATAATAAGCTATGAAATTGAGTTAAATGAAAGAAAACTTAGTTTTAGTGATTAAAGGGACTTTAGAAATCACTTAAACATGAAATGATTAAATTTGGGCATCGCCTATTTAATTATTGAAATTACTTAAAATAGTTAATTATTGATTTAAAAATTATATCATATTTCAGATAGTGATACGGACATCAAGACAGCTTATCAAGTTGATTTTGCGAACATAGTTATGTGAGTAGAAAATATAAATATTTTTAAAATATTTATAAATTAAGTATATTATCGAGGTGTAATTATGTGTTTGATTATATGATTATTATGAAATCTCTTTTATTATGATACATGTGGAATTCCAAAAATTATTTATAGCACATTTATGACTTGGTATGTAAGACATGTGCTATTGAGATTTATTTGGTATGTGAGACATATAATATTGAAATCGACCAGAAAAGTACTCATGATTATATATTTCTTCTAGTTCACAAAGGGGTATTGGCTTTATTCTATCCTACACAGATGGGTCTTGATTGGATATTGGTCTTGACTGTGTACATATAATTCACAGAAGGGCTTTGGCCGTATTTTAGAATTGATTATGAGAGGTTTTTGAGATAGACTTTCGTTCACGAAGGAGACCAAAGGCCCTGTAACGAAAGTTCTTAACTCGATGGGCATATTATTGATTTCAGTCAGAGGGTACATTTTTTGTGAATTTTTCAATATATTTGATATAATGTGATTATAGTATGGTTATCAGTCGATATTTATAGCTTAACTTTGAGATGACATTTGTGATGTATGTGAATATCTCATGTTTTGACTATAATTATATGATATTATCTTGTAAGTTATTCAATAATATGGACTCGATTTTGATATAAATGTAAAATTAAAAAAAGTGTAAATATTTTCGAACTTCGATATTCAACGAGCTATCAATTCATATATTTTCTCGTAATTCCTTTTACAAGTAGCAATTGATTCTTTTTAACTAGAAAAGTCTAATGATTTCAGAATGAGAGTCACACGACATTTTAAGTATTATAACTCATATTGACGAAGCACAAAATAGATAATTTCGGCCCATCGCATTATGTTTTATATAAGCATTTGATTTTGATGTATTTTTTTAAGTAACTCATTGTCAGTTTTGAATCTTTTGATGATAGATTTGACATTTGGTCATCATCTATTATCAACGCATGTCACGTTTCGAGTCCACTAGGATAATGTTGGATGAGTCTTGTCAATTATGCCAGTCACACGCGTATTTTTTTTAAATTATTATTAACCTTTATTTGGTGAGCTTCTGCAAATTTTTGATGAAATCCTTAAAAATATTATGAAAAATATGATTCTATTGAAATATTTTTTTAAAAAAAATTAATAAAACCAAATAAACTCAATTCACACAATGAAATTTCTGAAAAACCCATTTCCTCCTTTCCTTTTTCTTTACCCCATTTTCAATGAAATATCCTAAAGTTATTATGCCCTTATTTAAGGTACTTTAAACTGTAAATAAATATTTAACTTAAAATTAACAATTAATTATAATAACACATTTCAAATAGGATAATTGACACAAAACGTTCTTACCTTTCAAGTTTATTGTGAAAAACGTCTCAACCTTTCATTTTTTGACATTTTCGTCCCCACCTTTTACATTTATTGGCATAGAAGGTCCTTTTCATTTGTTTTTGACGATTTTACCCTCCATTCAAATAAAATAAAAAGAAAAGAAAAGAAAAAAGAAATAAATAAATAACTAATTGCAATAATAGTCCCAAATTTTCAAAAAAATTACAAATCGAAATCGATCACAATTTATTGTGAACTGAAAATCCCAAAAATAAAAAATAATAAAAAATAAAGGAAAATTGAATGTATAGAAAAATTTTTAAACCATAACCAATGAAACTAAAAATTTTCAAAAATGGGTAAACATAAATCTCAATTTTTATTTTGTGAAGAATAGATGAAAGGTTTAAAGTAAAAATCACGTAATCTTCAAAAATTTTCATTTCCATTGGTTACGATTAAAAAATTTCTCAATTTCTTAATTATTTCCTTGCACATTCAAGTTTCCTCATGACTTAATTATGATTTTTAAAAAAAATTTGGAACCATAAATGCAATTAATTCTTTATTTTTTCTTTTCTTTTCTTTTTGTTTCATGTCAATGGAGGGTAAAATCATCAAAAGAACCTTCTGTGCAAAGAAATGTACAAGGTATAGACAAAAATGTCAAAAAATGAAAAGTTAGAATGTTTTCGACAATAAACTTAAAAAATAGGAACGTTTTGTGCCAATTACTCTTTCAAAATATCCACAAATTTTCAACTTCATCTCCAATCAACTTTTATCAAAATCTACTAAAATTTTAATTTTAACTACACTAAATCTGACATATATTAGGTTCTCCCATGATACCAAATTTGATGTTAGCTAACTCGTTAGAAACAAATTTCTGACAGCCCATCACCATCCGCAACATTATATTTTGAATGCAAAATTAAAGAAGACAATCCAGATCTTCACCTTAATCCACTATAATATCATCTACCTATACCATCTTATTATTTTATACTAAATTCTCAATACAATTTAGTCCAATGCGCCAAACGCAAATAGAAACTTTTTCACTAATAGAAAATTTTACCTCAAGAAACAGAAATTGGACAACTTAATGGAACTTAACAAAAGCAAACAGAACCATTCCAAATTTGAAATCTCACATCACAAAATTTCAAATTACCTTTTAATGTGTCTACAAGTCTCCGAATACTTAATCATAAATAAATAACGACCACACAAAGAAATCATATCACGCAATATTCCTACAGTTTAACTACTTATTCTTCCTCAACTATGGTTCCCTTCTCGCTTACATAGATACCGTCAAGGAACTTCCTGATATCCTTGTTCTTCACATGGCATTTCTGGCGACAGAAATTTAAACAACAATCTCAGTATGATGCACAAAAGGAAATTATTAAGAACATATAAATGTGTATTGGGAGTTACCTGGTTAATCAGAGCACAAGATCGAGAAACGAGCTCAATGTCATTACCATCCAAAACCAATTCATCCTTAACCTTCTCGGATCTGACAACATTAACTCCTTCAAGCATAGCCACCTTCCTAACCTGATGAAATAATAAAATTTCAACGATGCCCTAGATTCAAAGGCTAATTCAACCCCAAAAAAGCACATCAAGAGCCGCAACCTGATAGCATGGTAAATCAACATGTGGAGATAGCCTCTAACCCACAACTTCATAGATTGTTAAAGAATCAGAAAACTGTCAATTATTAATGACTACTGAAATCACGTAACAAATTATTTTCCTCAGCAAAAGACAAAACATAATTTGTCTACATGTGATTCTTACTTCACATATGAAGAAAGGATTGCAGTAGATTATAGTTTCCTAAACACACCTCCAGTGTCAACAACAATCGTATTAGGCCACCTCTACCATCGACAATGCTTAAATCCCCAACATAAACATTAAACGTCAAAATCTTCACTTGCCAAATCTCCTAAAAATGTTAACCCCAAGTCTTAAATAACAATTGCATATCCAATGGCTTAAATCCCCTAGCAAGATAAAAAGGTTAAACCGAGTCTAACATTTTAATAAAACCAGCTCTTAACCATATACTAACCGTGCAAACCATAGAGCACAACTAACCGAATAGAACAATGACAAACACAAATCAGGCATCCAAAATCAAGTGTTCATGATTAGTTTTTATTACGAGTTTGATGAAGGTAAAAAAGAAAAAACTTCATTCACATTTCCATTTCATTTCAAATAATATCCAACTATGACATAAAACAGTGTCAAAAAAGAAAAAAGAAAAAAGGAAAACAACTCCCTACACTACAAAATCATCGGTTGCCACACTCTTAATAAAGTACAAATGGCTTAAATCCCCACACAAATATTAAAATGTCTAATCCAAGCCCAACATTTTCACCAATCCAGCAGTAAACAATCTGCCAACAGAGCAACACGTAGTGCAAAACTAAAATATTAAAACACTCCAAAAATGAGTAAATGCAGGGTTGCATCCCCAGTCTAGACAGCATTAGATGATAGGTTAAATGAAAAGTGAAATTAAATTAGTCATTTAATTTAACCTATCAATTAATGCCACATTAGCTCCACCGCTACAATTCCAGTGGGCTAAATAAAAAATATATATTCAGGAATTCAAAATCAAGTGATCATAACAAGTTTGATACAGGGAAAAGGGCAAAATATTCATTCACATTGCCCTTATTTTTAGTTAAACCAAAAAATCCAAATTATTTCCTAAACATTCAAGATAAATCACGCATCCAATCGAAAAATAAGAACCCTGAATCCCATATTAACTACCTAAAAATCAAAATAGACCGCAAATGAAAACAGACATATATACATAAATAGTGATGTAAGCAAGTAACACTAAAAACCGTTCGTAACAAAAAAAGGCATGAATAAATAATAAAAAGCTTAGGTTCTAAACCTTCTTTTCTCCAAGGAAGTTACGGATCTCAATCGACTTGTTACCATTAGTAATAGAAGCATTAATCGGAAAGTGAGCATAGACAAAACGCATCTTGTAGCGGTATCCCTTAGTAACGCCAGTAATCAGGTTATTGACATGGCTGAGCGCGGTGCGGATGGCAGCGGTAGTTTTCCTCGATCCGAACCAGGCATCCACCTTCAGCTTCCTTTTCCCCGTCTCCTCGTCGGTGATTAGCTGGAAATCCAAGTTCAAATGCTTGAAGTTCCGGGTCAGTTTCCCCCTCGGACCCTCCACTTCAATCATTTTTGCTTTGACCTTGATCTTCACGCCGTCGGGTATATCCATGGTTTCCGATGAGAGAATCGTCTTCATCTTTTCGCGCCCTGCCTGCTGCGTGTGCTGCTTATCGAAGAAGTGAGTAGGGCTCAAGCGATTTTCTAACGAAGAAAATGGTATTTTATAGCGAAGCCCTAGCAGTCTAATTTGGGCCGATATTCTGTTCAAAACTGGGCCAACGGGTTCCGATTTACACAAATAGCACAATATCAAACTCCATTTTGTAGTGATGCTCATTCCTATAAACTCTCACTTCAAAACAAAATAAATCATTTTGTCACACTGGGGCCAAAAGGTTACTCAGGGTCTGTTTGAGCCACATTATTTCAAAAAAATACATTCTTAAATAGTGATTTGATATCATTTCGATCACACATTTTTCAATAAAATAATATTACACGCAGATCAAAAAAATTTCCTTATATTTTAACCACACATTTTTCATCAATACACTATTCAAGAATGTATTATTACCAAAATAATATGACTCAAACACCCCCTTAAATCAATGTTATAAGAATATAAATAAGATGAGTTTGTCAAAATCATTCGTAATTCTTATGAAATCAACGTATGTTAGTGATTCAAACAGAATTATTAATAATGGGGCTATTAGTGATTAATTATATACATTTTGTTAGTGATCACCAACACCAAAGTCGTTAGTGATTGTCGGGAGCATTGATAATGCTCAAATACCAACGAGAAACAGGCAATGATAACTGATTGTTTGCAAATCTAATTCATAATCTATGTTGATTATTCAAACGGAAATACATTCAACCCTATTGTTAGTGATTATCAACATACCTTCATCGGCAACCATCGATGTAACTGTAGCATTGCACTCTTAATGCATTGAGACCAAGTTATAGGCAATGCGAGGTTTAGGCTATTAAAAAAAACGTAAAATGTCATTTTCTTATTTTAATATTATTTTAATTTTTAATAAATCAAAAAATTATTTAATAATTTAAAATAATACTTACTAAACATTTAAAATAGATTTATTGAAACGTTATACATTTTTTCTAAGTTTTCAATAGAAAAGATAAGTTTTAAATTTAAATAAAAAAAAGTAAATAAATAGTATAGGAACTTAAATCTTATCTTTGAAATGACACAAAGTGTGAACTTTTATAGTAGAATAAAGAATGCAAAGAGCGAAGTTATAATATCAAAGTCTAAACTTGCATTATTTTTGAAGTGACGCCAAGTGTGAGCTTTTTTTTTTTTTGATCGGTAAATGTAAATGTATAGATCAAAAATGTACCATGTACAAATACACCGGGCATACCCGGGCGAGACAATGTCCATAATCAAATACAAGTACTCCGGGCATACTTGGGCGAATCAATGTCCATAATCAGATACAAGTACTCCGGGCATACCCGGGCCAATCTTGTCCAAAAAACGTGCAAGAAAGATCAATGATGAAAATACTAATAGACCCATTAGCAAGAGAATCATAGAGAATCAAAACATTCGGATACAAAACGAACATTGATTTGTATACGTGTGTTTTGATCCTCCTAACAATGGATTCAACTTGTACTTTCGTACCATCAAAAATACAACAATTCCCAGCCATCCAAATGTAGTAGACAGTGGTAGCAAAAGCAATCCATTTAACACGGCTCGACCAACTCTTCCCCCGCGCTTCTTTTTTCAACCATTTAAAAGTGCTCGGTAAAGTAGACATGGAACGCCTAATACCCAACCAAAATCTGATCTGTTTCCATACCTCGGAAGTGACCCGGCATCCAAAGAATAGGTGCTGGACAGATTCGTCCATCCCCTCACAAAATGGGCAGTTTCGATCCAACTCCAAGTGCAATAGCTTGTCCCTCGTCTGGAGCTTAGAATGGACAGCTAACCATATAATAAACGCATGTTTGGGGGTGATGGAACCATTCCAAATCGTTCTGGACCAGAGAAGAAGACCCCCCTTTGACCTAAAGAAGTCATAGGCGGCAGAAGTAGAAAAATCCCAGAATCCGTCCAGCTACACAATCTATCCGTTACTGAAAATTCGTCCCGTTGGGCAGCAATAATGCTGTCCCGGATGTTAACCAGCTTCTTAATGAGTGGGGAATCTTGTTTCTTCACGCAATACACCCAAAAATCTGTCCCTTAGAGGTAGACAACATTAATCCATTTAATCCAAAGTGAGTCTTTCTTACAATGGATATTCCAAAGTGTTTTAGAGAGAAGTGCAGAATTCCAACATTTCAAGTCTCTAAAATCGAGCCCCCTCTCAACTTTAGGGAGGCAAATAGTGTTCCAAGCAACCAAAGGTCTTTTACCCCTCCCCCCCAAAGGAAGCTACGACAAAGACTATTGATTTTAGAAATTACCGTAGCCAGGATAGAGAGGATAGAAAGCCAAAAACATTCCACACCTTGGAGCACGGCTCGCACAAACTCGGTCCTGCCTGCACATGAGAGAGAGGAAGTCGACCATGAACCAATATAAGATGAGATTTTATTTGTGAGCACATCATAAGACCCAACTTTCAATTTTTCCGCCGCAAGTGGTATGCCCAAGTACCTAAACGACATGGAGCCAATGGGGAGATTTGTGAGAGCAAGAATATCCTCCAAATCTTTACCATGAATACCCGCGGTGTAGATACAAGATTTCCCAACATTTATATTCAATCCCGACATACCTCCAAAAATCGAAAGGTAATTCAATAAAATATCCAAAGACATGACATCCCCTCTAGCAAATAACATCAAGTCATCCGCAAATGCCAAGTGTGTGATCTTCAATTGAGCACACTTGGGGTGAAAATTGAAATTGCTATTCGAGGTGGCCATCTTTAGCAATCTAGATAGGTATTCAAGGCAAAGAATAAACAAGTAAGGGGAGAGTGGATCACCTTGTCGATGACCTCTTTTACCCTTGAAAACCCCATGAAGGTCACCATTTATCGCTATGTAATAAGATAGAGAAGTCACACATTCCATAATCCAATCAACAAAGATATTGGGAAACCCCAACCCTTTAAGAACTTCTTCAAAAAACTCTCAATTCACCGAATCAAAGGCCTTAGTAAGATCAATTTTGAGGAGGCACCGTGGAGCAACCCTCTTACGGTTATATTGTCTCAAAAGTTCTTGTGCCAAGTGAATATTTTCAATCATACTCCGACCCTCAACAAATGCGGATTGAGCTTGGTCCACAATAGAGTCAAGCATAGGCTTCAATCGAGAGGCAAGTATCTTAGTAATTACCTTGTAAAAAACGTTGCAACATGCAATAGGCCTATAATTCCCCACCGAAGAAGAGTGAGTACCCTTAGGTACCAAGGCTAAGATGGTGTCATTAATTTGCTTGAGAAGAGATCTCGAAGCAAAAAAATTCCTCAATAGCATCCATAAAATCATTACCAACAATGTCCCATGATTTTTTGAAGAAACAAGAAGTAAATCCATCCGGCCTCTGGGCTTTATCATCCCCAATGCTAAAAAGAGCTTCTTTGATCTCCTACCTCGTAAAATCCCGAACAAGTAAAGAAGCATTTTCCTCCGACAACATTGGTCCATTTCTTATAACATCCACACTAGCATGCTGTCCAACAGTTTTTCTCCCCAATAATTCACTATAGAAATGCGTGAATTCGGTGCCAACCTCCTCAAGAGAGGTAGAATAAAACCCGTCTCTCTTAAGTATAGCCGGGATGAAATTCCTCTTGACATTCCTCTTGGGCAAAGAATAAAAATACTTAGTACATTTGTCACTATTCTTCAAATGCACACACTTTGCTTTTTGATAATAGGAACTCCTTTCCGCCTCACAAAGAGTATTTTCCTCTTTTCTCAAACGAACCACTTCACATTTAAGATGAAGATTTTCTCGGTCATTGTACAATTCAAGATGTGCCAAATCAAGTTTCTTGGAAGCACTTTCGACCCTAGAGGAAATGTGAGCAAAATGTTTTTCATTCATCTTCTTAAGCAATCCTTCGAGGCAATGTAGTTTCTTGCAAAGAGAAATTGCTTCGTGCCATCAAAAACTTTACTCCAACCAAGAGAAACACCAAATCAAGCGTGAGCTTTTATAGTAAATGAGGGTGAGTAAGAGTTGTTAGACGAAGAGACACTTGGCCTCATCTTGGCGACTAGGGCCTCTTGTCATGGGCATCAATTAGTCAGACTTAGACTCAAGTGCATTTAATGTTATCACCGTTTGCAATCTTAGGCCTAACATATAAGACTAGACTTGACTTGCTGATTGAGTTGAGCCGCCAATGCAGTGAGTTGTCACATCACCCACTTGCTACAAGATCTTGTATAAAAATCTTCCCTAAGATGCCTCTTCCTTCTTTGTCTCATTCATGAGGGCTCGGCTCTCATTGGGGTTCGACCAATAGGGGTCGACCATGGGGGTTTGGCCATGGTGGCTCAGCTGTGGGGGCTCTCCATGGTGCTCGGCTATAGAAGCTCTGCCAAATTGCTCTTTGTGTAGAATAATGTGGAGTGCGAGTCTAAGTTCTCTTACTGTGACGCTGTCATTTGGCAATACTTAGAACCTCATTGGAAGAAGCGTAACAATAGTCCCCCAAGTCCAGGTATGGATATTTATATAATGCGTGAACTTGAAAGTTAGGTAGAAAGAAAAAGATCGTGGAATATCATATAGATATTCATTTAATGCGTGGATTTGAAAGTTAGAGAGAAGAAAATGATCGTGGAATGTCATATAAATCATGCGAGTAAGAGTGGTAAATGCCTTGTGGAGAGGCAGGCGTGTTATACATAGTGGAAGCCGTGATGAGGCTTCAAGAGAAATAGGCGATGTCATGTGGAGAGGCAAGCCTATTATACTTAGTGGAAGTCGTGATGAGGCTTAGGAGGAAGAGGTGATGCCATGTAGAGAGTGAGCCTGTTATACTTAGTAGAAGTCGTGATGAGGCTTCAAGAGGAAGAGCCGATGCCATGTAGAGAGATGAGCCTGTTATACTTATTGGAAGTCGTGATAAACCTTTAAGAGGAAGAGAAGATGCCATGTGGAGAGCGAGCCTATCATACTTAGTGAAAGCCATGATGAGGCTTCAAGAAGAAGAGGCGATGCCATGTGGAGAGGCAAGCCTGTTATACTTAGTGAAAATTGTGATGAAGCTTCAAGAAGAAGAGGCGATGTCGTGTGGAGAGGCGAACTTGTTATACTTAGTGGAAGCTATGAAGAGGCTTCAAGAAGAAGAGGCAATGCCATGTGGAGAGGCGAGCCTGTTATACTTAGTTGAAGTCATGATGAGGCTTTAAGAAGATGAGAGGAAGAGGCGATGCCATGTGAAGAGTTGAGCCTGCTATACTTAGTGGAAGCCATGACGAGCCTTGAAGAGGAAGAGGCGATGTCATGTGGAGAGGAGTGTCTGTTATACTTAGTGGAAGCCGTGATGAGGCTTCAAGAGGAAGAGGCGATGCCATGTGGAGAGCGAGCCTATTATACTTAGTAGAAGTCGTGATGAGGCTTCATGAGAAAGAGGCGATGCCATGTGGAGAGACGAGCCTGTTATACTTAGTGGAAGCTGTGATGACGCTTCAAGAGAAGAGGCGATGCCATGTGGAGAGGCGAGCCTTTTATACTTAGTGGAAGCCACGATGAGGCTTCAAAAGAAGAGGCGATACCATGTGGAGAGACGAGCATGTTATATTTAGTGAAAGTCGTGATGAGGCTTCAAAAAGAAGAGACGATACCATGTGGAGAGACGAGCATATTATACTTAGTGGAAGCCGTGATGAGGCTTAAAAAAGAAGAGGCGATGTCATATGGAGAGGCGGGCCTGTTATACTTAGTGGAAGCCGTGACGAGGCTTCAAGAAGAAGAGGCGAGCTTGTATACTTAGTGGAAGCTGTGATGAGGCTTCAAGAAGAAGAGGTAATGCCATGTGGAGAGGTGAACATGTTATACTTAGTGGAAGCCATGATGAGGCTTCAAGAGGAAGAGGCGATGTCATGTGGAAAGGCGAGTCTGTTATAATTAGTAGAAGCCATGATGAGACTTTAAGAAAAATAGACGATGCCATGTGGAGAGCATGTGGAAAGGCGAGCCTATTATATTTAGTGGAAGCCTTGATGAAGCTTCAAGAAAAAGAGGTGATGTCATATGGAGAGGCAACCTGTTATACTTAGTAGAAGCTATGATGAGGTTTTAAGAAGAAGAGACGATGCCATGTGGAGAGGCGAGGCTATTATATTTAGTGAAAACAGTGATGAGACTTAAAAAAAAAAAAAAAGGCAATGCCATGTGGAGGACAAGCCTATTATACTTATTAGAATAGGCTATTTAGGAATAGGCGACCGTTAATAAGGTTGAATTGAACTTGACCGATGCCTTTTGTATACGATGGAGGCTATCGAAAAGAGGCGATCGTTGATAAGGCCGAATTGAACTTGACCGAGGCCTCTTGTAGAAGGAAGAAGCGGTCGTTAATAACGTCAAATTGAACTTGGCGAGGCCTCTTATAGAAGGAAGAGGCCATCTGGAAAGAGGCGATCGTTAATAAGGCTGAATTGATCTTGGCTGAGGACCTTTGTATAAAGAAGAGCCTAACGGACAGAGGTAACCATTTATAAGGCTGAATTGAACTTGGCCGAGGCCTCTTGTAGAAGGAAGAGGCTATACAGAAGAGACGACCGTTTATAAGATCGAATTAAACTTGGTCGAGGCCTCTTGTAGAAGGAAGAGGCCATCCGAAAAAGGCGACCGTTTATGAGGCCGAATTGATCTTGGCTGAGGCCTTATGTATAAGGAAGAGCCTATCGAAAGAGACAACCGTTGATAAGGCTGAATTGAACTTGGATGAGGCCTCTTGTAGAAGAAAGAGGCCATCTGAGAAGAGGCGATTGTTAATAAGGTTGAATTGAACTTGGACGAGGCCTATTGTAGAAGGAAGAGGCCATCGGGAAAGAGGTGATCGTTGATAAGGTCGGATTGATATTAGGCGAGGCCCTTTGTATAAGGAAAAGCATATCGAAAAGGGACAGCCGTTTTATAAAGTCGAATTGAACTTAGCCGAGGCCCTCTTGTAGAAGGAATATGCCATCTAGAAGAAGTGGCCATTTATAAGGTCGAATTGAACATGGCCGAGGCTTCTTGTAAAGGGAAGACGCCATATGGGAAGATGCGGCCATTGATAAAGCCTAATTGATCTTGGCGAGGCCTCTTGTAGAAGGAAGAGGCCATCTAGAAGAGGCGACCGTTTTATAAGGCCGAATTGAACTTGGCCGAAGCCTCTTGTAAAAGGAAGAGCCGACTGTTTATAAAGCCGAATTGATCTTGGCCAAGGCTTTTTGTACAAGGAAGAGCCCAAATTGAACTTGGAGGAGGCCTCTTGTAGAAGGAAAAGACCATCTGGAAGAGGCGGCCGTTAATAAAGCCGAATTGAACTTAGTCGAGGTCCTTTGTATAAGGAAGAGCCTATCGGAAAGAGGCACTGATACATAGTCAAGAGCAAGGTGGAGGCACTGATGCATAGGCGAGATGAGGCCTTGGGTTACGAGGTCCAATATCTTTATTTCATGAAAGATACTTTAACTCATAGGTGAAACTAAAAGTTATCTTCCAGTCCCTCAATAATTTCACGACCAGTTCACATTTTTGTACATTTTTGTTCACTTTTAGTCCCCATTTTTTGCATTGTTCCCCTTGCATGGCGGAAGCACTGTTGAATAGGCCAATATGAGGCCTCTACACTTGAAGAAAGCATGGTTGTGGAGTTTGAGTATTGCTACAACGATAAAGCCTTTGAAAATGGATGAAATATTTTGTGTAGAGGTGAAGTTTCATGTTTCAGGGATGAGGCCTCTTAATTCTTCAAACTTGTCCTTTTCAGCCTTTCTTCAGGGGTTCTCCCTGATAGTCTCTTCTTCAGAGGCCGCCCACTCTTTTTAGGGGTTATTCGATTAATGACTCTGCCTCAGAGGTCATGAGCTCTTTCGCTCATGGCCTTCTTTTTTGTAGGCCTCACCCTTTACAATCGTCATGTGTATTCCATTACATTTGTAGGAATTGTTGCATGTGACTTTTGTTCGGATGACTTCTTCTTTTGGGACCTCTCTTGATCTCTTTGGGTGTTTATCTTTATTATTAGCACTTATTGTGGATGCATGTGCATTTTATTGACAGAGAGGGGTCTTTTGAGTGGATTCTGACCTCAGGATACTGATCTTTCAAGAAATTTGAACGCCAAAAATGTTGAGTTGGACTTCAAATCTTCTATCTTTTGGGGCTTCCACTTGCCCTTTATTTAAGAACAAAAACTTTTTCAAGGAGAAAGTTTAAGCACTCTTTATATGCTTTTTCCACATGATGTTTGTGATTAGTTTCGGTTCCTACAGACAATGTCAATCTGTTGATCTCGAAAAATGTACCTTCAACGTGATCAACAGATCCCAAGACCTCTCACGTCCAAGCAAGCCGTATTCCTGTACATTATGACAAACCGTTAACCACACGTGGCCTTCTCCCATGGGGATGGAGCCGGCCACGTGCACTTTGAAGGTCAAGTCAGTTTGTGAAGAAATATATGAGCGTGAGAGAGCTTATAACGTGAGCCTCCAATATAATAAGGTGGTCGATATTGGGAGTAAATAAAGAATGCAAAGAGCGAAGTTATAGTATCAAAGTCTAAATTTGTATTACCTTTTTAATGATACCAAGTGTGAGCTTTTATTGTATAAGATGATGAGTAAAAGCCGTTGGATGAAGAGACACATGGCCTGATCTTAGCGACTAGGGCCTCTTGTCATAGGCATCAATTAGTCAGACTTAGGCTCAAGTGCATTTAATGTTAGGACCATTTGCAGTTCTAGGCCTGACATGTAAGACTAGACTTAACTTGCTGATTGACTTAAGCCGTCTATGTAGTGAGTTGTCACATCACCCACTTGTTACAAGATCTTGTATAAAGATCTTCCCTAAGATACCTCTACCTTCCTCGCCTC